GAAGATTATAATAGAAATCTCAGAAAAAAAGGTAGAAAAAAACGAGGGAGAGGGGAGATAGAGAGCTAAGAGTTTGTAATCTAGACTAGAGCAAAACAAAAACATAGGAATATTCCTGAGACATTGTTTTTTACTCAGAATTTTGAGAGAAAGTAATTTATTCAATGGTTCATGCCCTTTGCATAAAGTTATATTCTGTTGCCGATTGTGCGTCTCATATCTCCTTGTTATTCATGCATCAAAGTTTCACACTCCTTGCAACAGTATTTGCCTTGTGAATTACAATTCTGTGAGGAGGTGTTGTGCAAAACCTCTCTTTTTCTATGACTCTGGCCAATGATTTCAGATATTCAACCGCTATGTCTTCATCTTTTTCAGCTCTTCATACTACTGTTGAAGACAGATACCACAGGTTGCCTAACTCTTTCTGGGTTTCCTCGGGGCAGGAACTGATGAATAACCCCGTGCCCTGTCAGGTTGTCTCTGGTGGCAACTCTGGTGCGCATTTGTTTTCTTCTTCCTCTGGATTCTGCAATGTCTCAGCTGTCTCACTCCATGGAAGGAACTCCCAAACCCAGCCACCACCCGTTTCTACCATGCCAAAAGACAGATTGGCTATGCAGGATTGCCCTTTGGAAGCACAACCCCAAGAGTTCACCGATCCTCTTCAGGAGTTCTTTGATTTTTCTGACCATGTTTCTGTTCCGAATCTTCAAGCAGAGAGTAGTGGAGTGAGGGTGATCTCGTCTGAGGAACTATATAAGAAAAGCGAATGGCAAAACTGGGCAGATCAGCTGATTTCTGTTGACGATGGTTCGGAGCCGAATTGGTCTGAACTTCTCGGAGATTCAACTGACCTCAATCCAAATTCAAAGGTTCAGTTTCTCTATAGCCATATATGATCTCTATGTTTGTTGTCCATATGCCATTTATTCAGCCTTTGCATGATTTGTAACAGATGCAGGCACCGTTTTCGGATGTAGCAAGACAAGAGATGAAAGCTATCGAGCAGCATCAGATGGTCTCATCAGAAGAGCAGCTCAGTGGCAGAAACGCATCATCTAGTGTATCAACATCTAAACAACGCATGCGCTGGACACCAGAACTTCATGAGGCATTCGTTGAAGCTGTTAATCAGCTCGGTGGTAGTGAACGTACGTAAGCTTTCTTCTTTGTTCTTGAAAATATTATCTCAAGGGTGTTGATTGTAAACAGTGGAACTTATTCTCTTGGCTTTATCATGTCAACCATAGGAGCCACGCCTAAGGCTGTTTTGAAGCTCTTGAATAACCCTGGTTTGACCATTTATCATGTGAAAAGCCATTTGCAGGTTGGTTCTTATCCATTTGTTTTAACTTTTCTTTTCTTGCATCTCATGTTGTTTCTCTTCTATGCTTAGCTCATTTCTCATTTTCTACCGTCTTTATATTGAGCTCTTTTTCTACAGAAATACAGAACGGCAAGGTATAAGCCGGAGACTTCAGAAGTTACAGGTAAAGGACTTGATATACTTGCATAGAATACTTCTCTAGTCTTCCTAAGCTTTATACCAAAAAGGCCTCTAAAAACTTGGTTAAAGTCTCAAAGGCACATAAAAGACCGTCTTTCTCAAATTGACATGTATCTTTGTATGAATTTTGTTTCTTTCTTCACAGGAGAACCTCAAGAGAAGAAGATGACATCTGTAGAAGATATCAAAACTCTTGACATGAAAACGTAAGAAATTTCAGTTTTTTTTTGTACTGCATAACAAACAAGGAATCTTTCTGCGTTTTGTTCAGAATATGTATTGTAATTCTGATAGGGTTGAATACTTATTGTACGTGGTTTTTGTTACGATTTCTTTTCCAGGAGCGTTGAGATCACACAAGCTCTACGGTTACAGATGGAAGTTCAGAAACGTCTCCATGAGCAGCTCGAGGTAATGATTTCACCTTCTAAAAAAAGCATTATCATTATTTTCCTGATATCTAGTTTTGAAATAGTATTAGTCCTAGATGTCGTGAATATTGTCTGATGTTGCTTTAATGAAATGCCAGATCCAACGGTCGCTGCAGTTACAGATTGAGAAACAGGGGCGATACCTACAGATGATGTTCGAGAAACAACAGAAATTACAAGAGAATAAGAGCTCTCCCTCAGAGCCATCACCAATGCAAAGCAACACATCTGCAGAAGTCGAATTTGGTCTTGAGACACGCACAGGGGACCAAACTGAATCCGCCTCGGCTTCTAGGAAACGGGTCAGAGAAGATTAGAAACACTTTTTATTGGGAATATCAAGTTAGGTGTTTTGTGGAAAATTCAGAGATGCAACAAGTCCAGTTTTGTTAAAAGAAATTGTTTCTTCCATTTTACTCAGTTTACAAGCAGTTGCCCTGCAACACTAACTCAAGACCAAGAACTGAAGATTTCTTTGCAGAAAATGTCGTCGTGTACATAAAATGTTATGTAAATTGAAATCTGAAAATATGGCTTGATCAAATCTGAGATGTTCTGTGCAGGAATGTACATGAACTGTTATGGAACTTGTGAAGCCTTTTCTTTTGTG